TATTTTCCTGTATTATCAGCCTTAGCAGTTCATATCGCTGTCCCCTCATTACGTGTCCCAGATATTGTAACTTTCTTATTTTTATTGTGTTTATTATTTCGCATTCTTTGCCCATTTCTCGCAATACTTCCGTGTTAGTATTCTTCTGTGTCCATGCTATTCTAAGCATTCTCCTGTAACACCACATTTCAAAGGACTGTAACTTATTTATGTGTTCTTGCTTCAATGTTCAGCTTTCAAGTCCATATTGCAGTATCGAAAACACGTAGCATCTCAGTGCTCTTACTCTCAGTTCTAATCTAAGATCTTTGTTGCAGAGAATTGATTTCATTTTTACAAACGCATTTCTTACTATTTCTATCCTAGCTCTTATTTCGGTTGTTTGATCATTATTATCTGAAATCCAGGTTCCTAGGTATTTGTATTTATCAACCCTTTCTATCGGTACATTTCCCAAATGTTTGTTTGTTGGTATAGTTGTTTTCTTTGTTATTATCATGTATTTGTTATATTCATTTTTAGTCCATACTTTTCACAGAAACTGTTTGTTTTGTTTAGCAGTAATTGGAGTTGTTCAACAGAGCTTGCCATAATCACGGTGTCATCTGCATGTCTTATGTTGTTAACATCCTTCATCGGCTCCTTTATAAGCTTCATCGAAACCGTGTAATTTATATTAGTCAAGGCCGTATGACACTATGCATTTTATTGTATCATTTCTTATATCGTTTCTGATATAGAAAGTTATTTATGTTTTCTTGTATCGTTTCTTGTACGTACATTTTTTCCCTGTATGACACTATACAAGTTCTTTTACCAGAAACTGTATGTGATTTGGCACATGATTGGTCGAAATTTTGACACCTATAAAAATAGAACTGCAGTACCTGAGGCACCGAACAAGGGCCTGAGGACCCCAAGCTACTGGGGACTGAGAACATATGCTACTGATTATTTTTAAAAATACTGTGGTGCAAAAATGAAAGAAATAAAATGTCCCAATATGAAAACTAAATTGGAAACCACAATTTTTGAATATATTCAACAGGTTGTAATGGAAGACAGAAATAATAAATAATTTGATTGTAATAATTTATTTGTTTTTTTTTAATTATGTGTTTGAATGGTATGCTCTTGAAACTCTACTCTCTTATTTGGAGATATAAAATAATCTTTAAACTCATCACGAATTTTTAGTGCGGTTATGTATTGTTTTTAGTAAAACATCTCCTACTTTCAGTAGTTCCAATGCTATTTGATCCAATCCCTGTGATTTATTGTTTTTCAATATGGCTACTGATGTTCTAATCTTCGTTATTGTTGGTGGGCACTTTTCTCTGATGTCTGCTTGGCCTAATTGTATGTATACATCAGAGATACTTACATATCTCTGGTATATATCAAAGTTCTCCTCCAGCCATAGAGAAATAAAAATAATAATTATTTTTATTTCTCTATGCCTCCATCCGCCAATATGACATAAAAGAAGTTTTACGTTTTAGCGGCTTTGCGCACAAATTGGCGCATTTCTTGTACAAGAAAATGCAGCGGACACAAATTCTTGTATCGTTTCTGATATAAGAAACTATACGCCTATATGACACTATCCATTTTTTTGTTATATCAGAAACGATATAAGAAATGATACAAGAAAATGCATAGTGTCATACGGCCTTTAGATAAATTCTAATTCAGAAAAATAAAGTTATGTTGCATATTGGTTCTGGTCCAATTCATATGCGACTGGGATATATATATCTTCTTTTTCTTACGGTACCTATCATTTCCGGATGTTGGCAATCAGCATAGCTAACCTTAGTTTACTTCGGAATAGTCCGGTTGTAACGTATTGAAGCACTTCCTTAGATTTTGAAGCCAATATATTTTTCTTCTCCCTGGTCCTCTCTTTCCCAATACCTTGCCCTGAAGAATGAGTTGCAATAAGCCATATGTTCATTTCTCATAACATGGTCAAGGTATTCTAATTTGCGCTCTTTGATTGTGTTAGTGATGTCGCATTCCTTGCCCATTCTGCGTAGGACCTCAATATTAGTCACACGATCCTTCCATGAAATTCCTTAAGATGCGCCTGTAACACCACATCTCGAAGGCCTCGAGTTTTCCTAAAGAAGCTTCCGAGAGCGTCCATGCCTCTACTCCGTATAATAATGTAGAAAATACATAGCATCTGATGATAGAGATTTTGATACTAAGTGGTAAATCATATAGGGATCGTATAGCAAACGCTAAATAAAATAACACATCCGAAAAACTATTATTATTGATTCTTCTTGAACGAATTGTTTGTCTTGGACTTGTTCTAATTATTTAGAATATAAATTAATAAAATAAGAGATATGCTACACTTTAGTACATATTTGCTAAAGATATCAATCTCCATAAAAGCACGAGAAACGTTAAAATCCATGAACATACTAAATAAAAGCGTATATTTATCTGGTACAAATCCGATTTTAAATTCGGTAATTACTTCGTTTAGCCTATAAAATGGAAACGGCGTACAATCCAATTGAAAATACCAAATTAATTAAACCGTTTACCTCAAATTAACCAACAAAAATATTTTTATATAACAATATAATGTAAAATGTAAAACGAACCGTGTAACTAAATTTAAATTGTATATTCCATTATGCGACACATAAAATACAGCGAAATTTACATTTGTGACATCACATAAACTAGAGGTTGCAGACCGTTAGGCCAGGCATGAATTGGCTTTGAAAATTGTAAACCACCGACTATCATTAGTTTATCGAAAACCAATGGAATTTCAAAAATGTCGTAATTTTTCAAATTATCCAAACTCTTAGTGAAAGAAAAGAGAAGAGATTTACATTTATTTATGCATAAACTTACTGGAACAAGAAACAAAATTATGGAAATAAAATTGAATTAAAATCAAAATAAAAACCATCTACAAAATGGAATCTATATAAATTACCTAGTGCCTAGTGGATTCAATGTGATTAAGACATTACTAATTACTGTCTGGCTTCGAAGATCAGATTGGCTTACTACTTTCATTAATACATCGTTAGAATGTAACATCTTCTTTTGTTAACTTGATGCATTTGTTAACAGCATGCTTTTTCAGAATTTTATTGGCTATTACTTGTATATATATACACTGACCGATACATGGATCGATGAGTATAGGTCGCTCAATATTTCTTGAGTTTTTTTAATCCATTTAACGCGGTGGATTAGTCCGCATACATCCTTTAGGCTATTTCTCAAAGATTAATATATTTTTTGCTTTGTCTACTACCTTTTTCCACTCTCTTCGGTCCTGAATATTTTCTCTCCAGTTTGCAATTTCCATATTTGATGTATCCTCTAGTAGCTGCTCTTTCCATCTTATTTTTGGTCTTCCTCTTGGTCTGTTTATTACTGGTTTCTAGTTCGTTATCCTCGTAATTGGTGCATTTTCTTCTCTTCTTTGTATGTGTCCAAACCTGGTTCATGTGTCAGAACCTCATGGTTCATCAGTCTTCTATATTCTCCTTGTTCTGTCATTATTGGGCTGTGTATCCTTCTTATAATTTTTCTTTTAATTATTCTTAGTTTTTCGTCATCTTTTTGCATAATACACATTACTTCCGCGTTATATGCTATCACCGGTCTAATTACAGCTCTATATATTTTTGTCTTTGTTTTTTTTGCTCAGGTTTTTGTCTTAAAGATATTTCCTATACATCCCTTTCCCCGCTTCAATTTTTTCACTTATTTCTGCACTCCTTCCATTTTTGCTGCCCTTTAACACTCCAAGTATTTAATTTAATTTATTTCCATCTATTTTTATTTCTGTTAGTGTGTTTACATTGTCTCTTGTACTTATTCTAGTATTTTGTTTTATTCTCATTGATTATGAGTCCTCTGGTCTTTGCTTCTCTTATCAACGTTAGACGTGGTTCTTCTAGCTTTTGTTTGTCTCGCGCTATCAATACTAGATTGTCCATTTATGATTTGTGTTGAACCTTAAATAATTGTCTTTTTCAGCTCTGTGTTTCTGATTATTTCTTCTAGTATGATATTAAATAGCGTCGTTGACAGACTATATCCTCGTCGTATACCACGTTCTATATTGATGCCGTTTATATCTCCTTCGGTTGTTTTAACTCTTGCTGATGAGTCCTTCATTGTTATTTTAGTTGCTGCCAAGTATCAAAGATATGAAGGCTGCTGGGACGGACGACTTTAACTCATAATCCTTGAAAAGTATGGACCAGAACGGTACAACACTTACCTTGATATTAAATAATATAATGATGAGGGATGCTTTGCAAAGTAACATACCAATAAACCTAAAAACAAAAGTATACAATCAATGTGTATTGCCGGTATTGACTTATGGTGCCGAAACGCTTACAGTGATAAAGAACACTATATAAATGAGAGGCCGCTCAAAGAAGAATGGAGAGAGCTGTGCTTGGAAGTCAAACCCAAAATCGCTTAAGAAATAGACACATCCGGCAATGAACAAAAGTACAAGGCATAATACGACGAATTACGATACTGAAATGGAAGTGAGCTGGACATGTTGCGAGATTATAAGGCGATAGGTGGTCATTAAAAATAATAAATTCGAGACCAGACGCGGACAAGAGAAGCAGAGGCAAACCGCCAACACTTTGGAGTGACGATATAAAAAGTGTAGAAACCGAACAGAATGGCTACTCTTGGAGCAGGTCAGAATACACAGAGGATTGCCGAGCCAAATATGATGTTGATGATAATGGGACACTGGATTAGAGCAGCTTAAAAAAGAGCTTAGTGGAGCATTTTAACGGAGGCCTATATCCAGGCTGGGAGATGATATTATTTAGAAAACTAAAAAGATTTCTATTTGGTTGGGATATGCGCTTAAGATACGTCGAAGGATGCTTCAGTTCATGTTTTCAACTCTTCTTTATGAAATGGAGGTGTGGACAATAAAACAAATACACCTAATTTAAATTCTAATGTTTTTGTTATAGATGAATCCTACAGATATCGTGGATAGAAAGAGTTTCATATGTAAAAATGAACTAGAAATTAGAACATGTCATCGGACAACAATTACATACACACATTATTACAACTCGTTAGATAAGGTAGTATTTGAAGATGTCACACAGTGGAAAAATAAAGAATATCTTGACTTAAGAACCCAACAGAATTCAAGGCCGCTCTATTCAGAGTCTTTGCACAGGATATGCACAAAACAAAATACTGTTCGCAAACTTGCGTTAATGTTAATATCCTCATCAATAACGTAAATTAAAAAATAAAGATAATGTATAAAAGTTTCGATGATTCACAGGAATTATCACCTTAATTTGGGCTTTCCATAATCCACACAAACAAACGATATTTTTGTCCATAAAATATTATTTTTAGTTAGTAATATGTACATTTAGAATAATTTGATTGTTGTTTTTTAATTCTGTTTGAACTTTATAACTACATTTGACGTACATGTCTTTTGAAAAAGACAATCAACCGTTCTAATAAAAGCAATAGTTACCGTAAAATGATATTGACTGCATTTGAATAATTAGGCCGATTTCCATGGAAAAACGGAATTTTTTGAATAGTTGCGTGTTCATACACGTCGCTTCTATATTTTGCAATTCTAATTTTCTTTGATAACAGCCTAAACACAAGTGCAAAATCGCAATTATCATATTTACCTTCTCATTAAAAATATTAAAACAACATTTGTTACTTTAGACGATTATTCTTTACTGAGTTAAGAATAAAAAATAACTCATGGTTTAGTAGCACATATTTTTGCATTGTTATAATGTTAATGGTATGCTAAAAACAATCACGCAATACTGTAAAAAAATTGGAAGCTACTTTAATTTTTTTTTACTTGTTTTTCGATCGATTTTATTTACGCATAAACTTTCCCTAAATTAAGTTAATCTCTGTATTTCTTGATTTCTATAAAATTTCTATAAATTTGTTTTTATTTTGTCCGAAAACAGTGAAGTCAGAAAATGATATATTGACGATTTGATATTCGTTTCTTTTTCTTTAGATGCCGTCTTCTTGGTGGAACTTGGCGAAGATTTGTGTAAAATCTTCCCAAGTATTAGGCTTTTCTTACTAACTTTTGTAAATCTAATTCTATCCATTCTTAGATATTACATAGCCCGGTCATTTGTTGTTTATTAAGACTACATATCACTACACAGTAGTGATAATCATGTCCGACAGACACGAGGTATATCCAAGGTAAGATGTCTTATGTTTTTGGTACGACCGATGCAACACCACATCTAAAAGCTCTGCTAACCTCGAAACCAGTGATTTTCAACGTCCAAGTTTCAGAAAAGTTCCTCTTATGGTACCCTATACAAATAGTGGATGTTGGCGACAATTCTGGCATACTCCACTCGATCTTGTGTGGCTCTAAAGAATGCATGATCATCGAGGTTTGTCCAATCCCTTATGTTTTTAAGTCATGAGTATTCCTTTCTTCCGATATTTTTCCTTCCATAATAAGCTTTAAGAACTGGTACTTAAAATTTCGAAATATATGACGCAGATAAGAGGTTTTTCTTCTTTTTATTATTGGCAGCATTTCTCGTTCTCTGCCCATTCGATTTAATACTTCGATACTTGTTGTGTGATCTGCCCAGAGAATTTTATGGTCCAGGTTTCTATACCATATAGGAGTATGAAATAAATGCTGAAAACTTTACAAAGCGATATCGAAGCGTTAAGTTAAAGCTTCTCATATTAGTAAATGCTGTTCTGGCTTGCTCAATCCTGCTACGTATCTCTATGTTTGTATCTAGATCTTAAGTTATCCAACTACCGAGATATCTGAACTTCGGACAATTTAGATGTTCTTATTGTTTACTCTGATATTTAACTGCATATTTCGTGTTCTACTAACCACCATTACCTTCGTCTTTATATTAATCTTCAAGCCCAGTCGTTCTCCTTCAGTGTTTATTCTATCTATTAGTCGTTGTAGCGCTTCTTGGCTATCAGCTATTATGACTGAATCATCAGCATAGCGAAGATTACTAATAGGCTGTCGGTTAATTTTGATTCCATCTTCAGTGTCACTTAAGGCTCTATCGAAAATCGTTTCAGAGTAAAGATTAAAAAGGAGTAGTGACAGAACACAACCCTGTCGTACACCTTTTTCGATTGAGAAATATGATATAGATTCCAGTCCCACTCTCAAAGATGCCACTTGATTCATATAAAGGTTCTTTATTATTTTAAGGTCATTCTCATCTATCGAACGTTCGTGAAGCAATCTTACTAATTCTGAATGATTAACACAATTGAACTCTTTCTGGTAATCTATAAAGCATAGGAAGACATCTTTTTGCTGATCTCTGCATTTCTGAAGTAGGACAGTTAAGCTATAAAGTGCTTCTCTTGTGCCAAATCCCTGTCTGAAACCAAATTGTATGGGGCTATTGTCTCTTTCACATCTGTTGTATATTCTTATGTGAATTATCTTTAAGGAGAGTTGTAGGACTTGGCTCAATAAGCTGATGGTATTTGACCTGACGCATAAATCTCATTAAAAAGATCTACCAAGGCGTCTATATTGTCTTCACTCAACATTGTTAGAACCTCTATGTATACGTCGTTTGGGCCTGATGCTTTTCCCCATTTGCTCTGTTTGATTGCCCTTACAACTTCTGACTTCAATATTTTGGGGAAGGGTTCACTTTTATATTCACTTTCAGAGTTTCTTCTAGTGTTGTCTGAGTATAGTTGCTGTGTGTAGTTTCTCCAATGTTGAAGTTCTTTAACGAGTTTATGTATGTTAAAGTGGTCATGTATTTCTTTCAATTCCTCCATTTCTGCACACCTGTCTAGCAGCCACTGTTATTTAGCTTTGCGAAACTCTTTTCGTATTTCGTAATCTGCTGATGTTTGGTTCGGTCTTTGTTTTGAAATAATCTGCGGTAGTCCATCATTGATAATATTTCGTCAGTCATGCAGTTCTTCGTTTTGTACTTTTGGCAAGCGATCAGAGACTTGGTGGTGGTTACGATAGCTTTTTTAATACAATTCCATTTGTCTTCTATACTGGTCCGTTTTTTAGTTCTTGCCGTGATATCCGCTATTGCCTCATTTAATTTTTCTGTGACTTTTAGTTTAAAGTTAGGTTGTTTTAAGGCCGATCCTCGCGATTCTGGGCATAGGTAAATTCCAATGTAAAAGTTTATATCAAATAACGCACAAACTGTGGCAGATATTGAGATGATTCTTTTTTTATATGGAAGGTCTAAAAAAGTTCCAGTGCACTATTTGGTTGTAAATTAATAAATTGTTTAAACAATATTTTTTTTCAAATACTTTTGGTTAAAATAAACGTAAACATTTTTTTTTTGAAATAGGGCACTAAAGAATTTGACCCACTTTCCGAATCTGTTTTTATTTTTAACATAAAGTGTAACACAAAGCAGCTATTTGATATAAACTTTTAAAAAATTTCAAATTTCTGCTAAATGCAATTTTCTCTCCGTCAGCATAGGCTGTCCTTGTCGGTAGCTTCTGGATTCTCGCCAGGTAGGTAAAACCCTCGGAGGAGGATAAATAAAGTTGAATAACATTATTAGGGCTTATTCCGACTTTTGACAAACCAGTGTGTTTATTGTATTTAAAATAGGAAATTTTATATAAATAAGCAGTAAGTACCTATAATTTTATTCAATTTTTATATGAATAGAAATATTTTCTGTTGATTAGTGACATTTTCCTTCTAAATATTTTCTACTGTTTTTATAACAATACTATTGTTTCAGTATTTGCTTATGTAATAATAATTTATTATATAGAAACAGCGTAGAGTTTTGGTCAATCATCCAGTACATTTTTTTTGTATTTCAATCAGAATTATTATTTTCTTTTCTTCTTTACATGAGCTCAGAGTAATAACCAAATATTTCGCAGTATTTGAATATGAAATTTAATTATTTATATTTATTGGTTAGCAACCTACCAATCGTAAAGTCAAATACTGCTCAAAGAAACAATGTACAGTTTTGGAACCGGATTGATACTTTGAAGACGACTACGGTAAGAAATAAGGACAAGCGAAAAACATCCAAAACCCAGATGAGAATTACTTGGAATATCAGATCACTCAACTCAAGGGACCAAGAAATAACCCAAGTGTTGAAAGACAAAGAAATAGACATTTGTGCTCTACAGCAAACAAAAAAAGGTCAATAAAAATTAGGTGAATACATACTAATCTACAGTGGAGTATTACTATTACTATCCAGTGCAAGGACAGTTATTTTGTTATTTATATCGAATATAGAATACTGTTAGTTTGCGGTATGGACTCCAAAAAATATTTTATTCGAAAAGATTAATAAATATATGGAACTGTGGGAAAATATTCTACAAAAATTTCAAGATTTTTATTATAATTTTTATTTGAAACACCTTCTGAAGAAACATTAGACATAATTCTATATTTATATCGTTTCATTTTATCAATTTTAATGATCGTGATACTAATCAAATTTTTATGATATATAATAATATTCTTTTTTTATAATTTTTATTTTCCGTAAACTTTAATCTATGTTAAAATTCAGACAGCCAATTTTTCCGTAAAAAAATGACAAATAAATTATGTATGTATATTTGTTACATTGTAAATTTATGAATAGATTATATTACTTTGATCTGTTATTATATTTACTCAAAACACCACTAAAGAGATTTATGGTTTTATTGTAAGCCAAAACCTGTCACTGCAGGGGTTGTCTCGGTGTATAATCGGCTCGAGTAAAAGATAAACGCATTTTTGACCTGGGCTTGAGAGAGATATCTAAACGAAGTTTAGAATATTACTTCATGAACAGATTTTGTTTTCGTAAAGAAAGAAATTTTTGAAATAGAGATAGCAAACTGAAATTTACCGTTAGAATTTTCGAGGATGAGCCTTAAGCTGTTTATATCAATTTTCTTTATGGATTTTCTTTTAATTTTCTTAAGCTTAATTTTCAATTTTCCTACTACGGAAAAGTAGAGTAGGAAATTGCATCTTTGCCTAGCGAGTAGAAAGTTTACCTTTTTTCTTACTTTTGGTCCGGAATATTTTCCAATAAGATGCAACATATTCCTTTTCCTTCCCATTTTGGCAACTCTTACACTAGGCGGCTCTTTGATATACAGCAGAAGTCTTGTCGTTAATTAAGTATAACAAAATTTCTTTCTTGTGGGTTACCACTTGCTTAAGGGACTGTTTACGATTCCAAACTATTACTGACTCGTAAAT